TTCAACTGGCATTAATGTTAATTATGGTCACAAAGTGTGCTCTTGAAAAGCAACCAACAAAAAATGCTTTATCGGTTGGTGCACAAAAATTAAAAAAAATATAATAAGACAGGTCCGCCTCACAAAAAATAACAGTATTTGGTTGCAAGAAAATACATAAGTGCTTGTTTATATGTTTATTGAAATTTCATATAACATTTCATGGCAGTTGGAATTGAGAGGTTGGTCAAACAAAGACAAGAATAAATAGATTGCTATATATTGATCTTACAGAATGCCAGGTTGTTTGGTAGTAAGGTGTATTGCTGTCAAATTTAAGGATTTAATTAATGGGTAAAAACAGCTAGAACTGAAAAATCTAGCTTTTTTACCTATTAATTAAATCCTTAAATTTAACAGCAATACATCAAATTACCAAACAACCTGGCATTCTGAAAGATCAATATTAAATTGAAATTGCTTTAAAGTTTTATGAAAATCCAAGTTGATTTGAAAGAGTTAAAGAAATAATTAAAGGTGACTATCTGAATTTAATCAGAACTGAAAATTCTAGCTTGTGTTACCTATTAATTAAATCCTTTAATCTGACAGCAATGAACCAAACTACCAAATAACCTGGAATTTTGTAAGATCAATATATGATTGAGTTAGGTGGGCTGATTCAGACCAGTCTAGATCAATTTTAAAGGTCAAGACTGAGTCGAGACAGGTCGAGACTGGTCAAGACTCAGTCGAGATTGATCGAGATTGGTCAAGACTGGTCGAGACTTGTCAAGACTGAGTCAAGACTGATCGAGACTGGTGGAGCATTTGTCGAGACCATATTCAGACTATATCAATATTATCAAGTAGTCAATCAGAATTATTAAGTAAAGTAAAGACCACAGTCAAGTACAGTTAAGTATAGTTTAGAACTGTAGAGATTATATCGAGTCTTGTCAAGTAAAATATGTGCTAGACCTTACTGGTTGAGCACAAAATATGGTCTTTGCAGACTCTGAAGAGTTTGTAGTGCTAGTATTGGTGATGGAGGCCTAAGATAACGACATGCAATTATATTTATTAAATTGGTCTTAATGCTTGATCTGACCTGGATGATCTGACCGGGACGAGCTTATTAAAAATTCTGTCATTGAAAAATTGTTGCTCTTATTTGACTTTGAATATGACATTTAAAGAACAATGGTTTCTGGTCTCTCAGCATGTTAGAGATGGTCAGATAAGTATATAAAAAAAGTAAAATGACAAAAATACTGAACTCCGAGGAAAAATCAAAAGGGAAAGTCCCTAATCAAATGGCAAAATCAAAAGCTCAAACACATCAAACGAATGGATAACAACTGTCATATTCCTGACTTGATACAGGCATTTTCTTATGTAGAAAATGGTGGATTGAACTTGGTTTTATAGCTAGCTAAACCTCTCACTTGTTTTACAGTCGCATCAAATTCCATTATATTGACAACGATGCGTGAACAAAACAAACAGACACAATAGGTAAAAATGTCAAAAATAGGGGTACAGCAGTCAACATTGTGTTATCATCTTAATCACTATTAAAACAAACAAATGTAACAAAGAAGCACAAAAAGACATACATCAAATTTAACATCCTCATTTTGCTTTTAAATTATACGATTTTACTTATCTATGTAAAATCCACCCATAAAGGATGGAAGGTTTTAAGTACTGGCGTTGAATCGCGCGTTTGACGTCATACAGGTAGATATAAAATAATTTTGTCGTTCAAAGTATGACGAGATACATAAATACAGAGTCACGTCAAATGGATATCACAAAAAACAGACTTAACAGTAAAAGTAATATATTTAAAAAAAAAAAAAAAAAAAAAATGAAAGAAATATTAAATATGCAATGACATTTTTTAGAAAATCATAAATATATTTACTCTCTTAGAAATTGAACATCTGCATGATAGAGTGAATTTAAATATCACAATTCTGTTGGATATGTATAAAATTGATATGCCACTGAAATACTGTCTCATTTACATATAACCTACGTTTCCCTCAATTCATATTCAATGGTACAACCACACAACAACAGAACTAAATGGATATCTAGTAGTTTAATGCTACTTTGCATTATTGTTCTTGACACAAAGGAAAGTCACTACAATAACTATTTTATGTAAAGAAAATAAGTTAGAAAAACATGATAAAAATTAATTTACATCTTCCAATTAATTGGTAGGTTAAGGTTTTCCTTATATCAAAGTCGACCTCAATGTCAATTACTTTCAATTTAGCTCTACTCTTCATTTACAGATATTTTGATCATGCAACGATAGAGCGAATTATACAACCATTTAATTGCTGGTAATTGTCAGGTAACATTTTTGTTAATAGCCTATGATACGAATTAGATGAAACTGACCAGTTAATAGAAATTTCAAACTTGGTTAAATCAATTTCGCTTCAAGGTACAATGCATTTTTATTGCAGAGATTACCTACATGTAAACTGAATAAGATTTTCAGTTCTACTTTCTATTGGTTCATCAACCCAATTAATAAGAGCTACTGATGGTGTGGTTGATGACTGAAATGTCAACCACTGCTGGACTTTAATTTATTTATTTTGTTGGCTATTTTTAAAACTTCATAATCATGTTTTTTTATTAACTGAGTGACAACCAAGTGTGTCAAGTTTGAACATATGCCATTTATATTAAATTGAATTTATTCATCAACATTTTTCTGTGAATTACGTAAATATTGAATGGATAAGGGCTGTGAGGTCGTTGATACAAATCAGAATTAAGTAACTGAATGGGTCTATGAATACCCATGCTATATCAATCTTAAAACACTTTAAATCACATTACATAAATTGCTTGATAAATGATTTAGGTATTGACAATTTACTTGGAGACTCAATATGTACCCCCCCCCCCCCTCCCTCGACACCTACCCAGGAGAGAATTTTGGATAATCATAGGTCTATTGTCTGTTCTATGTTCCTTTGGAATTTCAAACAAAGATGACGAACTGGATTTTCAATCACTGTATTAGATACCTAAACTACACGAGTGTCCTTACAAACAACGTAATATTGCTGGGTCTTCCAACAAGTGCTCCACAAAACCTTTTCTAAATTATTAGCATTAATTTTATCAGCAATCAAAGCGGGCTTCAAATTTATTGTGAAACTCCTTTTTCTAGAGGTGGCGTGAATCAGATGTAGATACTGAAAAATTCCAAAGATCTTTTATAGTACATAAAATCTAAGACCCTTTCATCATGCAATAGTATCAAAACATTTGACTTTTCTACACTTTTCACAAGTATTCCATATATCAAACTAAAAGACAAGCTGAAAGAGTTAGTCCTACTTTATTACATAAAAAAATGTCCAACGTGGATACAAGTAGGAAGGGATAAATCCTACTTTGTAAAAAACCACTCTGATTTAAACAAAACATTCTCTGAAACTGACAATATCAACATGCTTGATTTTTTTTCGCACAACAAATTTGGTACGTTTGGAGGACGTTATTTTCTAATAAATAATCGGCATTTCCATGGGAACCCCTCTTCTCGTCGACTTGTTCCTTTATTCATATGAGGCTGAATTAATCCAGGAACTTCTTAGGAAGAAAGAAAAGAAGTTAACAGTATCCTTTTACTTTACTTTCTGCAATATAGAGATTTCCTCTCACTAAATAATTCAAAATTTGGTGACTATGTTGAACGCATCCATCCCATCAAACTTCAGATAAAGGTTATATACAGTTTAGTCTGCCTCATATCTTGACTTAGTATACATCTAGAAATTGACAATGGTCAATTGAAAACAACACTTTACGGTTAAAGAGATGATTTCAATTTTCCATTTGTGAACGTTCTATTTCTATGTAGCAACATTCCAGCAGCGCCTGCATACGGAGTACATATCTCCCAGTTGATATTCCAGGGCTTGTATTTCCTATCATGATTTCCTTGATAGAGAGTTGCAGCTCACAAGGAAGCTATATAAATCAAGAGTTCCAAGTGGTGATAATGAAATCTTCCCCTCGTAAATTTTTCGGACGCAATCACGAGTTGGTAGACCGTTATGGAATATCCGTTTCTCAAATAGCGAATATTTTCCAAATGTCGTAAGTCCCGTCCCCTTTTCCCCGAATGTGAGCCACCTAATTAGACTTTTAACCGGGTTTGCAATAGCATGAGCAGCACGACGGGTGGCAAATGTGGAGCAGGATCTGCTTACCCTTCCGGAGCACCTGAGATCACCCCCAGTTGTTGGAGGGGTTCATGTTGCTCAGTCTTTAGTTTACTATGTTTTGTTTTGTGTACTGTTGTTTGTCTGTTTGTATTTTTCTTTTAAGCCATTGCATTGTCAGTCTATTTTCGACTTATGAATTTGAATGTCCCTTTGATTTTTTTCGCCTCTTTTAAACAAAGGGCAAAACAAAGTTTGTTATATAATCACATTGTAATATTTAATTTACTTTTTCTTAAAGTTGATGTTGAACATATGTTTAGCATTTCATTTACAGGCTTTTGAAACATTTTGGCTGCAGAAAATTTGATATAATGATTTCAATCTTAATCTGAAAATGCATATTCATTGGTGTTTTGAATACAGTGTATTATCTGAAAAATATATTATTTGAAAGATAAGTTCATGCTTTAAATGGCCACGCGAAAAGGTTTAAAGCTTTACTATTTCTTTAATGAAATCTACAGAAGGTAACAAAAAAGAAAATTGAACATGTTTTAGTGCATAAAAGATAGACAAATTTAAATCTTTCTGACGATAACTATCGGAAATATTTTTTTTCAACTTATTTGAAATTCTGTGCTTGTTAGTCTTTCTTTTAGAGTTGTAAATTAGAAAGCATAAAGATGTGTTTTTTTTTGAGAAAATTTATACTTCTTTGATTAGAACTGTCAATATAACTTCTTCACCAGAAACATTATTGCAAGGAATACTGACTGATAATTAAGAGATAACTCATTACTCATCTTAGTGTAAAATAACGTGGCCAAGTCACGTTAAGTTATTATTTTATTATGTATTATTTCTTTACATCAATGCATGAATGGCTGGATTTGTGGAATTTTATCATAAAATAATATAAATTCTTGTACAATATGGTGTTCTTTTAGTTTCATTTAACTCAACATAAATTCTTCGAACAAGGGAACAGAACATTCATACAAAAGTCAACATTGGCTTTCAGGACCATGACAGGGTAAGAATAACTAGTGATGTAATAGAGTTATATACTGTTTCTAAGCACAATCAAATATCAATATATGTTTATTTTGACGATAAGGTCCGTTTGCTATGTACAGTTTGGTATAATTCTTGTTGAAGGCAATTCCACAAGGTTTATTCAATCCATCTTCAGCATTCAAAAGGATGTCCAGGAGTTTTCCATCTGGTGACAGACGATGCAATTCGTTTGATGTACAGATTGTCACATATATATTTTCTTTGCCATCCAATGCAATGTCTGCTGGGCCAATAACATCAGGAGATGCATATGAAAAGATAACAGTTCCATTGATATCAATACAATGGAGTCTATCCTTATCGGCCTCACAGCAATAAATCATATCCATCTCACCTGTCTTCAGTGAATACAACTTACCACTTCCGACATTGAATGTTTTCATAAGACTTCCTGTCATAGTGAGGAAATAAACTTTTCCCGCACCACCCAATACTATCATGTTCTTTACAATTGTGACTCCATAGGGCTTGTCGGGAACTTCCATTACTTTACCTGGAAACATGCTGGTTATGTTAACAAACTGAATCGAGTCTATAGATGGTAATGTAACAACTGCTTCATTTGTTCCTTGTATTATGGCTATTCCCCAGGCGGCACCAGCAAGGGCACACTCCTGAATATGATCTCCCGTATCGAACCATATCGACAATGCTTTACTCTTGTCTCCCCAATAACATAACAGCAGTCTATTATCATTCGGTACAACAATGCTAGATATTCTCCCGTTAATATAAGGTAATTTAAATTCATTTTTGAGTTTGAATTTTGTTGGCATTTTCTCATATTCTTGTGGTATCTGAGCTTGTGCGTGTTTAGATGGTTTGAGTGTAATTAAACATGGAACATATTTTATTTCCATCGATCCAAGAGAATTAAGTGCGGATTTTATTCCCGATGCCTTGAAGTTAACGTCGATACATACGTATGACGGGACCAAATTTTGAAAGTCGTTCTCTTGCTTTGAAATATCCACTCTAATAGTTTTCAACAGCATCAATATTTGGCTTTCTGAGCCGTGTTTTGTAAGAAATTCCAATTGTTCTGATAAATTTGCGATGACCTTTTTTCGGGTTGCAATGTCTGAAAGATCAGATTCGGCCTTTCTGGTAAGCTTTTTCTCAGTCACATCAACATCTGTCATTAATTTCTTTTCTAGTTCATCTAACTCTTGAATTAATTCACGTTTAAATTGAGCTATCTCTTGTAGAGTGGTCACTTTAGCTTTTCCGATGTTTTCCTTGTTCATTGTTCTGTTCTCTTCTAATTTTTCGGCAGTTTTTAATAAAGCCTTTAAATCTGCTGTCACATCGTTTAACATTACTGAGGTCTTTATTCCGCGTGCAGCAACATCGATCGGTAGAATTTTGCCACATGTGCGATGGGTATTCACGGAGCATATACGACAGCACAAGCTTTCATGATTCGAGCAGTAAAACTCTAAACCCATATCTGGATGGTCACTGCAGGTTCTTCTTATGCTAAAAGCCTTGTCAGCTTGAAATTCTGCATCGACCAAATGGTGTAACACGAGGACCTTGATGGCTTTGTGAATGGCAATACAATCTGTGCATAAGGGATCTTCACAATCAGTGCAATATTTTACGGCAGAAGCTGATTTATCCATCCTTTTACATGGTCCACATATTTGACTGGAAGCCATATTTAGTCTGAAAATTTAAAAATAAAGGTTCAATTTCATTTGATATAGTAAGTTGTTGGAAAATGTACATGCAATCGATAACAATTGGATTTCACATAGTTAGTCGATAACTATATACTGGAAAATGTAGGGATGAATACAGTCAAATATGTGCATTACAAATACATTAATAGTTGGGTATGTTTTGTTTTTAATTAATAAATTATTGCTTAATTAGTGTCCAGTGGGGTTTTAAATTGATGTTACAGTTAAAGTGCTTATGAACATAATAACACAGCATTATACGTCTTGAAATTTGGTCAAGATAGGCAGTGAAGGAACAAGTGTTGAACAAAATCTAACAGAAAAACTGGAATATATTATACTTACTCGAGAACTGCCTCTCAAATTAGATAGATACATAAATTGATAAATAGAGGATACCTATCGTTCCTATCGACCCGCCCTTAACCCCCTTGACCCCAAAAAATCCCGACAAAAACGAATTAGCAATGGCCAATCAAATCAATGTGCGAGATTTGACATTAAAATTAACTTTACACAGACGAGGAATAACATTTTTGGTAAAATTAGGATTGCAAGATATATGATTGCGAATTCTAAAATGACGTGTTTCTTCTGTTTTGCTAAACACAGCTTGGTATAATTCTCATAGACGATTTATAAAGAGAGAGTTCATAAAAACTGACATAACCAAATGCTGTCAATCAAAAGAACAAGTGAAAGAACACTGCCATATTCTTGACTTGGTACAGGTATTTGCTGAAGAAAATGGTGGGTAAAACTTGGTTTTATAGCTAGCTAAACATTAAAATATAAATATAACCAACTAGATTAGATTTTAAGATCTTAAGCCACAACAAGTTAGACCAGAACTATAAGGATATAGATAAAAAAAGCAGTAATAAAAAAGAAATGAAAATATAAAATTCAGTATTAAGGATGTTCGCTACTCTTTTTTTTTTTACTTTTTTGTCAGATTTTTGGAATGCTCTAGTTTTATTCATCTAGTGCCAATGCAAAGTTTTCCTGCTAACCTTTTTCTTTTCTTAATTCTATAACATACATTCATATTTTAAAAAGTCATTTTTAAATCTAATAAAATGCTTGGTTTTTTTCATAGTTTTTGAAAGAATAAAGATGCATGAAAAGTCTAGATAGAATCGTCTCCCGCCAAATTTTTAATTGATTATATTTCCAAAACAAGAACACGGACCTTTTCACTTTTTTATGAACAAAACACAACATAGAAACTAACTCCACCAAAAACCGGACGTGGTATACGGTGCTCAGGAAGGTTAAGTTGATCCTGCTCCACCTGTGGCACCCATCGTATTGGTCATGCAAGTAAAGACACGGTGATAAGTGTGAATCGGTTGGTTACATTCGAGAAAAATAGGACGGGATTGATGTTACAACAATTAATACATATCCGTCGTCATCTGTGAAAAGTAAAACACAAAAATACCGAAATTTGTAAATGCGGGTATGCTGGGCATTACATTTGCCTCTCAATAGTTCACATACGGACCACGGAGAAATGTTTAATGATTCTTTCAAGTACAAACATTGTGGTACTCCGCCAAACCGAGGCATCGGATTTTATCGCGCCCATTTTGAAATTGATAATATAGTCTTAGATGCATGATTTTTTTTATTAGTTGTTATTGGCTTTGATCTAGATGTCAGTAACTGCGAGTGCTCTCAGATCTGCACTTAGTGTCTCTTTGTTGTTGGGATGTACAAGTACCCGGCCACGTCCACTCTGTGTTTTTGTTAGATGTATTTACAGTTGTATCCATCTGAGTTCAGCCTTTTTTCAACTGATTTTTATAGTTCGTTCTTATGTTGTACTGTTACACCACTGTCCCAGGTTAGGGGGAGGGTTGGTATCCCTCTAACATGTTTAACCCGCCACATTCTGTATGTATGTGCCTGTCCCAAGTCAGGATTCTGAAATTCAGTGGTTGTCGTTTGTTGCTGTGTTACATATTTGTTTTTCGTTCATTTTTTTTGTACATACATTTGGCCGTTAGTTTTCTCGTTTGAATTGTTTTACATTTTTCATTTCGGGGCCTTTTATAGCTGACTATGCGGTATGGACTTTGCTCATTGTCGAAGGCCGTACGGTGACCTATAGTTGTTAATTCCTGTATCATTTGGTCTCTTGTGAAGAGTTGTCTCATAAGCAATCACACCACATCTTTTTCACTGGTTGGTCTTGTGTGGACGAGACGCACGTCTGGCGTATTGAATTTTAAGCCTAGTACCTTTTGATAGCTATTATTCGCGTGTTTCTTTGTCCTATATGTTCTCCCATTTATTTGTATTGTGGTCCTGGCATGTGATGTTGTCGTTTTGGTGTTGTGTTCGACGTTGCCATAAAAGCGGGAGGTTTGGCATGCCACAAAACCAGGTTCAACCCACCATTTTTTTCTTCAAATGTCCTGTACCAAGTCAGGAAAATGGCCATTGTTATATTATAGTTCGTTACTGTGTGTGTTACATTTTAATGTTGTGTTCTTGTTGTGTCGTTGTTCTCCTCTTATATTTGATGCGTTTTCCTCAGTTTTAGTTTGTAACCCGGATTTGTTTTTATCTCTATCGATTTATGAGTTTCGAACAGCGGTATACTACTGTTGCCTTTATTTATATATATATTGACCGGTATTTATACATCACGCACAGCGCAAACAGACGCTCAACTGTCGTTGTTGTTTAACGGGAGACGTCCATGGATTATTGTTTTGATATACCCCACTAAACCCTTTGGTCATTTTTCAAATAAAGTATAGGTATCGTTTTAAAGCACAATAACATGAAAAATTACCAATAAATCAAATGTGTCTCGATCGGAAATGATTTCAAGGTGAACATGGGCGTTTATCCGGAATCCGAAAAGACAACAAAGATATAGGATAAAAAGTAGAGCAAAACTTTGCTCAGAAATCATATAGATGGATCAAGATGTATACCTCTGAATCTGCTCTTGGTATGATTCATCAGCGCTTACATAATGTAAGTTAATATGTAAATGCATTTAACACTATCACTATACTTTGTGACAGGAATATTCAAATAAAGATAATAAACCAAATATCGAGGTAAAATAGCACTAACATATATTTACAGCTAGTTGGCCATACATCTAATGGTAAGACAATATATTAAAAGATATTGTCCCAACCTTAGTATGAATGACTGGTTTTAATATGACTAGCTGTGTGATGTTGGGTTTACAATTTATTTATTTTCATCTATATTCTAGAAATTTATTTATTCATAAGTCGTTTTGTTAAGTCTTATTTTGAAAATATCAGTCGGGTCAAGATAACTGCAGTTCGCGTGGAAACCAAGGCCAAATAAATACAATTTTAATATCGTTTCATCAACAACTTTTCACAGATAAAATATTGTGTTTCAAATCAAAGAACATCCATCTTTGAGGCCCTTCGTAATCACATAATCACATAATCACAAAATATTTGCTAATATAATCAAATAATCATTAATTATTTTTTTAAACAAGATAATCAAATTATCAAAAATACAGTCCTGGATTATCAAATAATCAAATAAAAATGACCAACTAATCACATAATCAAAAACCCCATGAGGAGGCTCATCTTGGTCAAGTTGATTCTGTTAAATTTTTATCTATTTTTGTTTCATTTATTTTAAGTAAAAATATGTAACAGGAAGTAGAATCACACACAGTAACTGTTGTTTAACAAATTTTTCAACTTAAGATATCACACATTTATCATGCATGTTTTAACACCCGTTATAATGATTGTGTATTACGTTTGTCTATTGTGTTCACTATATGGTTGTATATGTTCTTAAAAAAGAAAATTATGTTTGTTTGTCTTTAAAAAATGTATTATACATACTTTCGGCGTTGTCTATTGCACCGGAGTTATCTTTCCTTTTTTCTATTTTTATCAAGAATAGTCTTGTGTATGGGCAGGGTTTAAATTCCTTATATCAGGTAAGCATACATTTTATAACATACTTCTTAGGCGGGAAAATAATTCCTGTTAGAAAAAGAAACTGAATAATTCAAAAATAGGTCACAGGTGTGAAAGTGCATAAAATACTGATTACAAAATTTTAAACTGATGGTTTCTTTGAATTGATTACTGACCGAAATTTCAGGGTCAGTGCATCTCTTCGAGGATTGTGGAAGAAAGGGCATATCAAACAATTTTCAATAAATATATGGGAAATTAAATAGCCATACAGAAAAACTTAAGTGTTTCGATTAATTACTCATTTTATAAATAGTAATGTCAAAGAGAAGATAGTCAAATATTCAATACAAGTACAAATATAAATAAATTCATAATTTATACAAAAAATAGCTCTAACATCAAGGTTGAAATACCTTAAATGTATATAACATAATTTCCGGTGTTCGTTGACAATGAATCAAAAATCAGAAATATTATTATAAAATGCAAACGAAAAGAACCCTGACCTAACATTAAAATACATGAACTTACATAACCTACACCCACATAATGATGAATTATACAGAAACGCAATGATATGCTTGATAATACCAGTAGTTCACTTATAAAGCACTTGGAAAGTTAAAATTAACCTTCATGTGGCACTTACTAAACAGGAAAACATGAACAATCAAATGTATATATGAAAAATAAGGAATTAGTTTTCTTTATTTTACTGGACATTCAAACCATTTCTAGATGTGTGTCAATGCTCATTGAACACTCCTATTAATCTATTAACCACTATTAATCAACATAAAACCGTGCTTCAGAGTTACTGTGAAACCACGCAGAGGAGGTATGAATCAGTTGTAGATAATAAAAGAAATCCAACTCCTTCTGTTAGAGCACATACAATCTAAATCTCTCTCCTCATGAACTATAACTACTTGACTTCTCTACCCTTATAGCAATATTCCTTATTCTAATATGAAATAATTACATTACATATAAAAATAAAGAGAAAAGGTATGCTTGCAAATGAGATACATATCCTTCAAGTTCAAATGAAGTGGATGTTAGCAATTATAGGCAACCATACTACCTTCAACAATTAGAAAATCAAATACCGTATAGTCGGCTATAAAAAGCTCGACATGAAAAATTTGAAACGATTCAAGTGAATAACTGACAGACTAACTTACCACAAAACAATTTAAAAAAAAACAAATATGATAAGCATGAACAATTGGCAAAAACTAAACTACAGGCGTCTGGCTTGGGACAGGCACATAAAGAATGTAGCAGGATGAAACCCAAACTTTTCACCTCTTATGTCTGTTTGTTTTGCTCACACATTATTGTCAATATAATGAAATTTGATGCGACTGTGATACAAGTGACAGGTTTAGCTAGCTAAATATACAGGTTTAATCCACCATTGTCTACATAAGAAAATGCCTGTACCAAGTCAGGAATATGACAGTTGTTATCCATTCGTTTGATGTGTTTGAGCTTTTGATTTTGCCATTTGAAAAGGTATTTTCCTTAGAGTATTTTTGTTATTTTATATTTTACTGAAAGCTAGTTTAAAAATACAACTGATAAATGAATTATTTGGCTGTTTTCTGCTCTTTCTTCGGGTTGTTGTCTCTTTGACACATTCTCAATTACCATTTTAAATTTTAGTCATGTTCTCCCATGCTAAAGTATCAATAATTACACATCCAACACATTTAGTGTAAAGACTCATAAACAGGAATGTTTCATACATGTCATCGGGACTTTTGATTGGTGACAAAAATTGTAAGGCTTTCCAAAGTTACATTTTATTTCTTAATTTAATGAAATATTAATGACAGCACGTGGAAGTGTGATAAATTGTTTCAACGTTCATTCATAAAAACTTAACAATGTTTATATAAATATTTAGTTTTGTAGGAATACTTATAAATGAAAGTTTCCTGAAACTGACATCAAGATGCTTGAATATTTATTTATATAAGTTTCGTAAATGTGCTTTAAACCAACATATCCGTTGTCATCTAAGAAACATATATTCCATTTCTGTCAACCAACTCCTGATGGTGTCCGTAAAATGTACGAAGGAATGACCCCAACCCCACTTCACAATCTACTATGCATGATGTCCTATCGCTGAATGATACAATGTTTGCTCCAGTTTTGAATAAAAGATACCACATAATATATTATAATTTGCAAGCTTCATGTCTGAACTCTTATTTAAAAATGACATAGAGATTCTCAAAAGAGACGATTTCAAATTTCACATTGGTAGCAATTCATTCTTGTGTTTGACATTCCAGCAGCAAAAACATTTCCAAACTGATATCGTTGATATTCCAAGGTAATGATTTCTAAGACGAATTCCTTTACAGAAGCCTGAATCTATTGAACCAAGGGATCCCAGTTGTAAAGATAAAGCCATTCTTTCAAAGCGAAATATATATACGGACACTATCGTTACTTGGTTGATTGCTATTGAACATCCGTGTCAAAGATGGTCACAGATATATTCCATATGTCGTAATCACAATCCCGTTCTGTGACATCTCCGAACGACACTTTAACAAAACTTAATTGTTACTTGTCATGAGCAACGCGACAGGTGCCTCATTGTTGTAACAAGAACTATTTGCACTTCGACGCATAAGACTTCACTCCCGTTTCCTATTGATCAATGTTTAGCTATCGGTGTCTTTTAAAGAGGGAGATGCTGTTTGTCTTTTCGTCGGTTTTCTGACAGCCATGGCATGTTGTCTGTGTTTTGACGACATAGGGTTTTATCATAGACCCTTCGATATATGGTCTCCTACTTGGTTAACGCAAAACTTCAATGGAACAAAGGCCAATTGAACGTTTGTGGTCGGAACATTGCATAGTAATCCAACAAAGAGTTCAACAGAAACGATCGAAAATCATTAAATACAACACCAAATTCCATAAATGAACATTTAACAAAAGATCAGTACATCGACATCGACTGACGATTGAGATTTTGCAAGGAAAATCTATTGCATTAAACCGATAATGTTGTTATCTATATATATAGTTATAAAGAGGATAGTATGCTATTTTATGCTAAAATTGAGGATATAACAGATACTTCAATGTTTATTCTTATAAAATATGATTACTTTCCCGCTGAACAATTAAAATAAAAAATGTATTTAAAGTTAGTGTATCCATTGGTTTTAGAAAAGATTGCCATATTATACAAAAAGGATTTTATTTATTTTCATTTGAAACATTATTCTTTGAAATAAATGAAAATAGGAAAAGGTGATAACATTAAAAGGACCATGTTAATTAATAAAATTTTCCATTGAGGAAGACGAAATTTCTATATAGCTAAGATTAATGGAAATGATCATACAGAAACATGGGTAACAACTATGAGGACTCATTTGAGGTTTTCTTTAAAAACAATGTTGTTCGGACTACAAAACCCCTACCTAAATTTCTTTTTCATCTTGTCCCGTCCAAATGATGTATTGGTATCATGATGTTAGAATTTGTTATATTTACTATAAAAAGATCTTAGATGTGAAGAATTTTTAAATTATTGTTGAAGCATTTTTAAATGGTTGTGGTATTTTGTGTTATAATGTATACATCTTTTCTGTTTGTTTTTGAGTTTTTCTTGTAAATTAATAATGCATTTGTTTATTAAGTTTCATTTATGCTTCAATGAATTTGTTAAACTTACAGATATTCTTTTATAAATGCTGAAAAAGTTCAAATATGGGTTGGTAATTATATGTAAATGTTGAATTGTTGATTTCAATGGTATTTTTTTACTAGAGCACAATGAATGAGAAATTTATTTTCTTTCCATGTTAAATTGCATGGTGTTGCATCAGTCCTGTAACACACAAGATTCTGTCTTCTCAGGTACAGTTTTTCATTGTAAATTATGGATGAAGGTCATAAGGCCGCCCTTAACTAGTTCGTTGTTTAACGTTGCCTACCCATGACCACTAGGGTTGGGTAGGTAGGAAGGGATTATTTTCTTTTGTTTGGGGGGAGGGGCAATAACACAAGTTACATGATTTAGACAAGAAAACGACATTTGAAATAAAAAAAAAATTTAAAAAAATCAAAGAAATTAAACGATTGTGTGTCATAAATTGTTTTGGGTAGGCTGTTTATTTAGCTTTTTAGGTGGGTAGGTAGGCAACATCAATCAATTTTAATTCTATTTGTTGGCCTAAGAAAATGACATTATAAAAATTTGGGATTAAGGTAATGAGAAAAAGACATTGTAAAATTTATGATGTGTTCCAAAGAAATTTCATTTTGGTAAGAATTTTCTTTAATATTTGTGTTCATGAATAACATTAACGATATCAATTTTTCTGAAACAGATGTGCATTTTGACAGTAAATGAAAATGCTCCGACACAGGTGTCAAACCCATATCCATGCATGACCAGTTCAACTTCAATAACAATGGCTACCCCCAATAGTTATAATTGATTATTTATCTGTAAGATAGAATGTGTTTAGGAGACTGTAGATTAGTTTTTTTTTCACTGAATTTGAAAAAGAATGCAATACTTTTTGAGATTTCGATGGAGTTATGTTCAACATTTATTTAAATTAAAAAAAAAAATCGAACAAGGGATATTCAGATCATTATTTTAATTTTTTTTTATTCTTAGTAATAGATATAAAGCAACGTATGAAAATATATGTAAGAACTGTATGATTATATAGTTATCAAAGGTACCAGTCTTATAATTTGATACGCCAGACGCGCGTTTCGTCTACATATTAAAGACTCATCAGTGACACTCAGATCAAAATCGTTGGAAAGCCAAACAAGTATAAAAATGAAGAGCATTGAGGACCCAAAATTCCAAAAAGTTGTGCCAAATACGGCTAAGGTAATCTATGCCTGGGATAAGAAAATCCTTAGTATTTCGAATAATTCATACTTTTGCAAACAGTTAA